AGAGAGAGAGAGAGAGAGAGAGAGAGAGAGAGAGAGAGAGAGAGAGAGAGACACTTGGTGATTCACAGAAGACAAGGCTGGCCGCGTGGAGCTGAAGAGGAGTTTTGATCTGATAAAAAGGAGAAAAGGACGAGTTTTGATTGGAGAAAAGGAGAAAAAGCTGCAGGTGCACCTGGGGTTGAAGGCATACGAGTTGTTGACGACGAGTTCATCGCACAAAAGGGGAGAGAAAGCTGGAAGAGAGGGTCTGACAGCACCTGTGGGAAATGATGTAAGAAGTGGAGACAGAAGCGAGATGGTAGCAAAAATGTGCAGGGAGTCAGCAGGTGCACTTGGGGGCTGAATGACGAGGTTTTTTTTTTTTTTTTTTTTTTTTTTTTTTTTTTCCGACGAGGTTGTTAAGCACAAGGAGAGGACTTAAAAACGATGAAAGCAATGTGAAGGAAGAGACCGTAGCGAATGTACAGGGATCCAGAAGATGGGAAAAAAAAAAAAAAAAGCAAATGTACAGGGAGCCTGCATGTGGACTTGGAGGTGAAAATGCATTAATTAGAGTGCTTGATGAATTCATAACAGAAAAAAGGAGAGAAAGCTCAGAGGGAGCATACGTGCTCTGATTTACAGTGTGTGACGATATACATTGTCACATCACTACAAACTAAAAGAGCGCACTTTGCGGAACAAAGAATAACAGCAAAAAACGGGCACAGTGATAACATGCAAAAATAAAAAGAAAAACAAAAACAAAAAGAAAAAACAAGGGCAGATTGAAACCATTAAATTTCTCATTCTTCTTTGAACTYCACCTCCACTGTRCCWCTCACGTGCAAGGCTCGCCACGTTGATGAAGTTGAGCGCGAGCTGCCCYCATCCCCGTATGCCATAACAGCCCACTTGCASGCTGTGAGAGAGGCAGAGTGAAGGGGAAGGTGTTAAACACAGGGAAAAGCTCAGGAATGAGGYTGTCCTTGACGACAGAAAGGACACAAATTGTAAGGATGGGGTGGATGAGCGCATGGAAGACCTAACTGAGCATTCTCAAAACAACAACTGCCAC